AACTGTGTTTTCTCCTTTTCTCTCCAACTCGTTTCTTTCAAAAGCAAACCATGAACAGCACCAGTTTACTTTGGGATGACCTTTGACTGGCTGTGAGTGGCCTTCAGGTTTTGACACAGTGGGTGGTTGGAGGCCCTGACTTTGAGTGTAGTGCTAACCCAGTGATGAAGAGGACAAGTACTGATGTTGGGGCCCTTGGCTGTGAACCTCACTGTGCCTCTTAACTGGCTGTGTGACCTTGAACAAGTCACTTAACCTCCCTGAAGTGTGCAAAATGTAGAGGGTGGAAAAGTAAAGACTGTGAGTCTGCACACTGAATTTTTTTTCACAGTGCGTAATAACTTTATATCCTTGTTTATTCTCCTTGAGCAGTCACCACTTTTCTATCATATTATTTCTGATGTACGGTAAAACCACTGCCTTACACTCTTTTTTTTTCTTTTAAGCACGAAACAAGGTTTATTGAGGAGAGAAAGATAGGATTACAGAGCAAGAGCAAGATGCATTCACCACAGAACGGCAAATGGGCCTCTTGTCTTAACAACAAAAATGGTCTGCACTCTTAAGCTTAAAAACAGAATAAGATAGTTTTTTGGCAGCCACAGATATTATGATTTTTTAATACAAGCTGGAATACATTGATATTTTAGAAAATACCAAATCATTGAGCACATCATCTAAATTTGACCAAAATTCTATGGGGTATTCTTAAAAAGAGAGAGAGCTGTCAAATAAATGAATTTTGCAGAAGTAAAAGAAGAAGTTTCCTGTCCTTTGAAGTTTTTGTTAGGTGGAAATTGATTACAATTGAAAAATGGAGGTGGTTTGAATTCTCTGAAACATAGCTTGCTCTTATAAAAGCATCCAGACCCACCATGGGCACTCTGAGACGGGTGACGGATGTCACGCTCAGCAGGAAGGGGCACCACCGCACCTCATGACCCTGTGCAGGCTTTGGAGTCAGAGCATGTGGTTTTGAATCCTGCCTCTGCCAGATATTTGCTTGTCGTCTAGGCCACTTAGTTAATCACTCTGAGCCTCAACTTCTTCATGATAAAATCTGAAAAGATTATGCTCATCTCATAAGGCCACTGAGAGAGTTAAATGTTAAAGATGTCAAGTATAAAACATGCTGCAAGACCCTGTCCCCAATAGATGCTTGATATACTGAACTGTTTTTTGATAATATTTACATAATATAATTATGTAATCAAATAATGTATACTATAAAATATTAAAATATAATATGTTTTATATAATACTTACATATTATATATTATAATATATAACTATTTAAAAGTAATAATATTTCAGAGATTCCTAGCTTTGAGATCCTGTTATCTAATGGTTGTCATACTTCATAACAGTGGAGTCTTTCTCCCTTTCCTTCCCTGCACACAACCCCTTATGTGGAACTGGAATATCTGAGACAGAGCACAGAGAGCTGCTGCTGAAGCAGGGGTGAGGGACTCCTCCCACAGCTACTCAGGCTGACCACCCCAGGGTGCCTCTGGAACAGGGTCAACACAGCTGCTCTAGTCTAATCTTCTGCATTCTTCTTCAAGATCTGAGAGCCACTTTGGGAATGCTAAGGCCAGAGCCCAGGTCCCTGGCCTCGAAGCCACATTTTCCTTCTGCAGCACTCTGCAGTGTCCGCTGATGGAGTGAATAATGGGTACTGATGGTCCTCTTCTTGATGGGAACTGGGACCTGTTTTCCTTGGGGTGGCAGCTGTTCCCATCATAGAACTTGGAGCCTTGAGAGGCTGCTGGCTCAATTCCTGGGTTTACTGATGGCCCCACTTAGGCGTTATAGCTGCCACAAGCCATAAGGAAATCACAATATTTAAGTATAAAAGTGCTACGTACATGGTTAGCCTCTCACATTGCAGCCTTTAACAATGGGCATATGTCTATATTTCTATGGATATTAGCGTTGATTTCCGGGTGCATGAAAAAAACTGTTTAGTGTAGTAGAGTTTCATTTCTCTATATTGGGGTCAGTGTCAGGTGATAACTGACTTGCTGTATTTTTCATTGTGGAGGAGCCGGTGGGCCCGGTTAGCACAGGCACTTGTCGTAACTCTCAGAGAACAAAGAGGCTTTTCTGGCTGCAGGGTTTTTGTCTGGAATTGCTGTAACCCTTTTCTATGGATTTCATCAGGCTAGGTGGATCGTGGTTTATGACGTTAAAAAAGATGTATTGGAAAGCCTTCTAGCAGAAGATGAATGCAAGGAGACATTATTACGTCAGCATGTATAGATTTTCTCTACAAGAAAAGGTTAGCGACCTTGTTGACAGAGTTAGTGCTTTGAGATGTATGTCCTTTTATTTCTGCTTGTGTTAGAGATTCTTGGTGCTCCACGCAGCATTTAAAAGGGGAAAAGCACACGGGCTTTCCTTCTGTTTTATGTTTTCCTACATCATGTATCTTGATGTTTCTGAGATCTCTACAAGAGACCTCACCCCTAGCCTGAGCTCCTGAACTGGGCATAGAGTGGAAAAATTTCATCTCTGTTTCTGGTGTTGCTTTTTCCTTGAGTGATTTCATGCCCAAATGGTTCTCTGTTATAGAATTCTTTCTTCTGTCAATTTTCTGGGTGTTTACAAGTATGTTGAGATGAGACCATGGAGTTCAGTTTAATTATAACTATTATATGATGTCCTTCAGTGCATAATAATTAGTGTGAGAAGAGGCTCCTTCAACTTGGTGGTCTGGGACCTGGTTGATGGATCAACAAACCTCTTAGTTCCACCTGTAGAGGTCCACCTGCAGCAGGGACCCAGGAGTCTGTATTTGTTCTGGCCATCAGCTGGGTTTGGGAGCCCTGTTCTGTCCCCAGACTTCTAGTTCCATTCCCTTTCCATCACACCATTTAGCCACGCAGCACCCCCTGTGCAACATTTCAGTGAATTACGCTGATTTTTGTTGTGAAGCTGTGACAGGTGTGAAAGTATAAGATGGACCATTGCTGATTATGACACTTGACTTATATAGGTCTGGGTAAGATACTTGCAGCGAGGGAGAAAGCCCTTTTGGTGGAAGTGGGGCTGGTTTTGAATGACAAACAAAAGAGTTTGGAATATGTAGAAGGGGCTTATGGGTCTACTGCCGCCATCCTTGCTATTGGCTCCCATGTTTTAGTAGCCACCAAGTGGCTAGCTGGCACTGTGCTAGGAACTTTTTATATTTTCTTGCTGAATCTCATGAGGGCTGTCACGTGATAGAGTTAAAACTGACCACCGCCATCACGTGGGTGCTTGTGAAGGAAGGGACTTAATGAGAGCAGAGAAAAAAGAAAAAAACATGCCCACAGCCAGACATTAGTTCATGCTCACTCATTTTAACTTTCTGCATGGAACATTCTGTAGTTAAAAATACCTGTACCTTTCTATAAAAATGTATAAAGAAATGATTCTGCTTTGTAGGAACAGACTAGGCAGTGTGTGTCTGAGAAGCCTGCAAGTCTGTAACCTAGCCATTATGGAAGCGCCTACAAGGTCAGGCCACACTAGGACTTAGGGGTGTCACATTCAACGCATGGGCTCCCACGGTGTGCCTCTATCTGCTCGCCACAGGACAGGACTCAGGACCAGTTTTCATAAATATTTTATTGGTAGCTGATGGCAATCCCAGCAATACTGCCGAGCCTGACAGCTCTGTTCCAAAGGGAGGGAACGTTTTCCGGCTTGTTTCATGTGCCTTTTTCCTATTCCAAGGATGCTGACAGCTTAGGTCAACTCTGGTGCTGAGTTTTGCTGTGAGTTATGACATATTCGGCAAGGAATTTGTTAATGATAATAAACTGCTGGAGTTGGAAAATTATTTACTTTTTCTCCCCCGAGTAAGTAGATTCCACACTATCCTGATAATAACGATAACCACCATAGACACTGCATACCAGGCCTCCTGCTGAGTGAGCCCCTTGCTTGCATTTTCTCATTAAATCTCACACCTATGTCATGGGAAAAGTATTTTCAGTGTCCCCATTTGAGATATGAGGAAGCAGGTAGAAAGAGGTGAAGTGACTTGCCCAGGGTCCCACAGGCAGTGAATGGCAGAGCTGGGTGCCACTCGTGCTCACCAGCACACCAGAGGTTTCCGTGAGTGGAAAATAAGGGAGTTTGGGCTGGCTGTTAACACTGCAGATATTCAGGATAACGTAGGGGGAAGTATTAGAACCAGAGCCTGTGTCCTGGTGGACCTGGAACTAGAAAAGCAAGCTAGTTGCTTTCCAGAGAAAGAATTCATTCCATTACTGGACTGAAGTTTCCCAAGTTCCTTATCCCTGAGGGCTTCCAAGGCTCAAGATGTAGGTATGGAAGACGTGACAAAGGACATGCTCCGGAGGCTGCCTGCTCTTTGAAGGCAGAGCCAAGTCTTGTCTTGTTCTGTGTTCTGCTTCCACCACCCACAGCCAGGCCTGGTGCACACAGGGGTTGGCAGGAGGAAGGGAAGGAAGGTAGGGGAGAGTGGTGGGGGGGGAGAGAGAGAGAGAGAAAGAAGGAGAGAGACAGAGGGGAGAAGAGACAAAGGAGTTTCCAACTTTTGTGCAAGGCACCATTATTGGAAGCCCACTGCTTACTGCCGTTTCCCATATATTCTCCTTGCACACAAATCTCATTCTTATATTTATTTCATCAACATTTTGACCACAAAGCTGGATGCTGGGGATAAATGAGACATGGTCCTCCTTTCAGAGAGGGGAGTTTATAATCTTAGGAAATTACTCAAAGCCGCAATCTCATTGCCTAAGGGGCAGTAGGGGACATGGGCATCCCTACTCAAACAGTCCTCACCTGCTCGGGATGCTCCTGGCACAGGAGGAGTCCTATTTACTACAAGGAAGGAAGGTTTCATAGGGTCTTTATTTTTCTTTGCCAGAACATTGCTTTTAGCTGTTTCCCACCTTTCTGTGAAGCTTTGGGTTTTGTTGTTGTTGTTGAATGGAATGTTATGATTACGTATGGAATGACTCTTATTTTTCTGTTTGAACCAGGATCGATCGGAAGATGTCAAGTACTCACACCAACTACAAACTGGATGAGGCCCAGGCTATCATGACTGAGCTCCGGACCATCAAGAAAGCCATTTATACAGGCGAGAAGGAGAGGCGGGACCTGATGCAGGTAGGAAGCCACCTGCCTACCTGCTTGCCTGTCTTTTATTTTAAAATGTTTTAAATATACTTATTTATTATAAATGTTATATATTTATTGTATATACAGTTCATATCTAATATTATGTTAATATACAATACATATACACACACGCCACATTATATTTAAATAAGTGTATTCTTGTCGTCCCTCAGTGTCCTTGGGGGATTGGTTCCAGAACACCCCTTGGATACTAATTTCTAGGGTGCTCAAGCCCCTGATAGGAAATGATGTAGTAGTTGCATGTAACCTACATACATCCTCTCATACACTTTAAGTCATCTCTAGGTTACTTATAATACCTAATACAATGTAAATACTATAGAAATAGTTGTTATACTGTATTTTAAAATTTGTATTGTTTTTTATTGTTGTATTATTATTTTTTATTGTTTTTTTCCCCCAAATATTTTCTATACGAGGTTGGTTAAATCTACAGATGTGGGACCCTCGGACATGGAGGGCCAGCTATTTTAGTTTCCCGGGGTTGCCATCATAAAATATCATAAACTGAGTGGCTTAGAATAGCAGAAATTTGCTCTGTCAGTTTTGGAGGTCAGAAGTCTAAGGTCAAGGTGTGGACAGGGCCACATTCTCTCTGAAGGATCCAGGGGAGGATCCATCCTTGCCTCCTCCAGCTCTGGCGGTGGCGGCAGTCCTTGGCATTTCTTGGGTTGTGGATGCATCACTGCAACCTCTGCCTCCATGGTCACATGGCCTCCCTGTGTGTCTGTAAATTTCCTCTTCCTGTAAGGACATCAGTCATTACATGAGGGCCCACCCTAATCCAATATGACCCTATCTTAAGTAGGTTACATCTGTAAAGATCCTATTTCCAAATAAGGGCATATTTGCAGATTCCTGGGGTTAGGACTTGAACATATCTTTGGGGGGGGGCACAATTCAAATCACAACAGTAGGTGATACATTTATATTGTTTAATAATCAGGATAAGTCCAAAGGTGTATGATAAGAAGCCTTGCTATCACTCCATCCTCCCACCTTCCATAACTACTGTTATTAACTTCTTGTATACACTTCCAGTGTTTATACAGACACACAAAAATATGAATACATGTCCAACTGCCCTCACACAAAGCCAGGACTGTACTATGGAAGATAATATCCTGTACCTTCTCCCATATCTGCACACAAAGAGCTTCTTCATTCCTTTATATAGTTGCATGGTATTTTACTATGAATTATATAGCCGGGATCATTGCAGCTTTATATTGCTTTATGTTTTTTGCCCCTTGAATCTTGTAGTTTCCATTATTTTTAGAAAAAGTTGAACTTTTGCAGATGGACACACACTGGTCTTTTCACTTGGTGCTGGAATGCATTCAGTGCTTTCTGTTACAGCTTTTATTTTTCACTCAACACCCTAAGTGAACACCTACACCTGGTAGGCATTTTTTTAGATTCTAAAGAATGTACGACACAGAGGACACGTAAAGCAAAGCTTAGGCTCCTCAGCAAAATGAGGCAGATGCGCAAAAAACTACCCCGCCTCCACAGTGCTTCCTAAGGTCGAGGCTGTGAGTGACTGTCTCATGGTCCTCGTGGAAATGCAGATTATTGGGCCTCAGCCCAGACTTACCCAATTAGAATCTCTGAAGGTGATGCCCGGTAATCTGTATTTTCAGATGACCTCTCCAGGTTGTGCTAGGTAAATGGTCAATTGTTAGGTTTTTGGGGGCATGCTGGTAGCTCTGAGAACAGCTACTGTTTACTGAGATTTCTGTGTATGTGGCATTGGACAAGGTGCCCTATGTTCATTACCCATATCATGCTAGCCAACACCCCAGGGTGACCCAGGTGGTATTTCACAGTGGCAGTTAAGCAGGGCTCCCTGCCTTGGCCTCTCTGAGGCCACAGTGTGCAGCGCTAGAGCCAGCCACCCAATTGCCTTGCTTGACTTCCTCCCAATGGAGGCAAGAGATAGAATTTCTGGAAGAAGCTTCAGGCCCCAGCATCTTCTTTGAGGTCTCCACAACCTCTCAAACTCTGAGAAACTCTAGGAAGAGGCATAGGTAAAGTCCTCTTCCATGAAAATTGAATGAGTTGTTTTGTCTTCCTTAAATAAACTTAACATTGCCCCTTCTGCTGTCCGCAGTAATATCTGCTGAAGGTGAACATACTCAGAAGTCTAAAAGAAATGGTCAACAATTTGATTTCTCGTTAACTTTTCACACAGAAGGGTTCCATATGCCAGAATATATACTTGCTCTAATTTTTGGCAAACTAACATTCCTGTGAGATTACTTTTGAGCATGTAGAATTATGACTGAAAAATCAGGTTATAAAAATACATAAGCATTGTCTGGGAGCTATTTTCACCGTCTCTGTGGTTTATCTATAACAGTCTCAAGGTGGCATTCATCTCTGTCAGACTCATTTACTGATTGAACATTTTACATAGCAATGCTTATTTTTTTCTTTAGGAAACACAAAGGTTTAAACACCAGTAAAAAATGGTACTGTAATTATTTTCTATTTTATTCACGTGCTGCCAGAAGGACTCAGTTGCTGTCTGATTTAAATGACTAAGAATGCTATTAAAGGTGCATGGGGGAAAAGCTAATGAGCACGGGGGGCTAGGGGTGGGATGACTCTCCAGTAATAAATGAAGTTGCAGACCTAGAAGCGGAATGAAAAGCCCACTTCTAAAGGGAGGGGAAACATTGCCATCTCTATTCAAAGAGCTTGTTTCCTTCCGTTCTAGAGCCTGGTCAAGCTGACCGATGGCTTCAAGAACAGCTGCTCCATTACTGACTCGCTACAAGATTTCCCACACGATCCAGGTGCTCTCGGCCATTCTGGTGTCCCTCCGCAGTTCTGCGATGCTGGCTCTCAGACCGAGGTATGCTGCCTGGGGAGAAGCAACGAATGCGTGTGCCGAGAGAGATGAGGGCTGCTTTTGTGTTGCCATCACTCATTTGCTTTAATTTTCCATTTTCACTTCAGAAATGGTTTCACTTTTGTGCCACTAAGTTTGAAGAAGAAAATATCATCTCTCACATCCAGCCATGTGATGCAATTGAATTGCTTATTACCTCTGTCCTTGTGATTTGGATTCTTAAAAACTCCAGGCTCCTCGTGAGAATTGAGTTTAAATGCTTTTTTGACAGACATATGACTTTTTAGAGCATGGGTCAGCAAACTTTTTTGGTAAAGGGCCAGACAGTAAATATACTAGATATTAGATATTTTAGGCTTCGCAGGCCATGCAAAACTCTTCAACTCTGTCACTGTCGTGCAAATGCAGCCATTACAGGGATGATGTATGAGGGGTGGGCGTAGCTGTGCTCCAGTAAAACTTCACTTACAAAAACAGGCAGTGGGCTGGGTTCGGCCTGTGTGCTGTAGTGTTTACAGATCCCTGCCTTAGACCAGTGATTTCCAAAAGGCTTTGTAGCTGTGCCACCTTGGGTTATATACTTTGTTGCTATTTCTTATTCTTCTGAAAGAATGTCAGGAAATTGAATTGAATTTAAAGTAATTTTGTTTGAGACTTGGAAGAATTTCATAATGCTCCTTTTGATAATTAGTGAAGCCTTGAGTTAGCCACAAAAACAAAGTTGGGAAAGTCACCATTTGAAGCAGGGTGCTGGATATTCAAAGACACTGCTATTGTAATGCATTGAGTGAAGTTTGACATTAATTCGTTACCAAATGGAAAAGCAGTTTAGAGGGCTTCTTCCTCTTTAGGCTTATGAAGTAAAGGTGAAGTATCAAAGGAACGCACAGTGCCACCCTCCAAAATTAAATAAATGAAAAGAAAGGAAAAAGGGGAAAAACAATTGGCAGAAAACTCTGGATTTTAAATTATTAGCTAATATTTTGAAATTTTGGCAAATAATGCCTCTTCGAGGGGAGTGTAATATAGTAAATAATGACTCTTTATGTCTTTGGCATTTTTGCCTAAACATTTTGGAAGGAGGGAAGGAAAGAAGTACAAGACTCATTGATTTCCATGAATAATCCATTACTGCTTGCTGTTTATTATAAGGTTAGAATTAGAATTTGAGACTCTTAAATAGTTTGAGAGAAACAGGTAAGATTGAAGGTTCTCTAATGATTTAGGTAAACCATTCTTTTAAAATGTCAGGTGGAGATTGGTGGCTGGTTATGCTACTCTAGCAGTAACTTGTCATTGTTTATGAGCCCCTGCAGTTTTTACTGGGGCTGGCCCTGGGTTGGCAGTTTTACAGCTGTTGTCTCAGTTTAAGTAGTTGTTCCTATCCTGTCTGACATGCAGAAGACTGAGGTGCCAAGTTACCTAAGGTCATATAGCTGAGGAGAGGAAGGTCTGGGTTTGAGTCAACATCTCTGATCCCTAAACCCTTATACTTTCTACTGCATCACATTATTATAGAAAAATATATCAAAAGGCTATAACTGTATTAGTTTAGCCATTACTTATATAACAAATTACCCCTAAACCTAGCATTTTAAAACAGCACTCCTTTATCATCTCATGCTTTATGTGGGTTAGGAGTCTGGGCTGGGTCTTTTTCTCCAGGGTCTCAGCAACTTGCCATTGAGGTGTCAGCCAGGGCTGCAGGCTCACCTGCAGAAGGATCCACTCCCAAGCTCATGTGATTGTTGGCAATCGCAGGTCATTGGACTGAGGGCTTCAGTTCCCTGGCATGTGGGCTGCTCTAGCAGGGCAGCTTGCTTAATCAAAGTATGCCAACCATCAGACTCTGCTAGCAAGATGGAAGTCACAATCTTTTGTAAAAACCTATTCCCAGAAATGACTTCCCGTCCTCCTTTTGCTGTATTCTGTCTATTAGATTCAAGTCATAGACCCAGCCCACTCTCAAGGGGAGGGTATTTCACATGGGGTGAATCCCAGGAGGTAGAGACCTTTGGGAGCCATCTTAGAAATCTGCCTACCTCACTTAGTTCTTGCTTTGAGTCAATTTTGTGGGGTAGGTGTTGATGTATATCAGACATGCTTTTCAAGACCAGGGATTTGCAGCTACAGGTTTGTACATGCTGTAAAGCTGCATAGGAACTGTGAAACGGTAACCTTTTGGATCTGACTGGCTGTCTTTTCTTTTGACTAAAACATCCATTTGGTTCTCAAAGAAGAATACAAAAACAAAGCTTAGAGGTCCATAAATAGCTTTGAGAAGACGTTAAAGAGATGACATTTATTGGTCTTGATGAACAGTTGACTGCAGGGTCGCTAGGAAGAGGGGATGAGGTGGCAAGTAGCTAACCTCCACTGGAAACAATATTTGGGGCTGGGGTGCTACAGCCTGAATATATTCATATTGAGGAAACTGTGGACAGGTCATTGGACAAGACTTTTTAAACGTGAAATTGTGACACATCTCATTGGAGAATGCTCAGTCTGTCATAAACTTCTTTGTCTTGCCATTCACGGCAATACAGTTGTAAAGAAAGAAATTCCCCATCAACATAGATCAAAACTCATATTAATAAATTTATTACTGATCATTCAAATCAAATATTTTCAAATATTTGTTGACATGAGATTATTTCAAAAACATAAAGACTTGGTGGTCATAACATATGGTCTAGTAAGGTCAGATCTGCAGGTGGAGCCCATTTATTGAAACTAGAGTTTGTATGATGTTTCCACGAATGAAGAATGAACCAACATGTGCTATAATTGCTTTCTGTACGTGTCTTTTTTGTTTTGTTTTGTGTAGGATTTTGTTGCCTTCGATGTAATCGGTATGAAAATACTTAAGTACAACCACTGATCACATTCAGAGCACCACACTGAAAGTCTCCGATCCCAGGCTTTTCCAGACCTTGCTTCCTGTCCTCCTGCCCTTGGTTCTATAATGTACCTCGTGGCATCAGGAGGCATCTGCTAGCTCGTACCTCACGCAGCTAGTCCAACTTTTTCAGACCTTGGGACTTCAGACCTTTTATATTTATTATTGAATTAGAGAATGTATTGCAGAAAATGGGATGACTTTTTTTTTGCCTTTGTATCAACTTTTACTGAGTAATTCCCTATTTAACACTTGGTTTGTTGTTATTGTTTGGAATTACATAATAGATGGATATACTGCCACTTGAAAAAAGAAAAAAAAAAAAACTACCCACTTTAGAAAAGCAAATGTCTTCCTAGCCCCACTCCCAACCCCCACTGGCCAGAGGTGGCAGCAGAGTATTATTTGGTGTGTTTCCTTCCAGACCTTTGAAAAATTGAAAGTGAAAGACAAATTAAAAGAGTGTTTTTCATTGTTGCTGAAAGTGTAAACGAATCTTCTATTTTGAAAAATATGTTTTTAATACATGTTTCCTTCCTTTTTTTCTCTTCTGTTCCGGAAAGTTTGTCTTTGATGATAAAACAAGGCTCGTAGACCGAGTCAGACTTAATTGGCAGTATGAGGAAGCCAGAAAGAGGTAAGAAGTGCATTTTTCCGATCTTGCCTTTTGCTTACTTACTTTCTCCCATGGAAAGAGGTTTGGCAGAGTTCCAATGTGTGATTGTCCACATTTTATTGGAAAGCCGTGTGTGATAGAATATAAAGTAAAGGATCTTCATTTACATGTAGCTTCTTAATACACATGAAAAATTTCAAGTGCATTTAAAATCTGAAATTCTCAATATTGTGTACTGAGTAGTACACATTTTAACAGTTGCAAAAATGTGATTCAATAAGAATAGAGACTTTCTTGGCTTTCTTTAGCATACCAGGTAGTTCGGAACTCGGGTCCCTCCTCCCATTCCCTCCTTCCAGTAGACCGAGCATCAGTCTCGCAGACCAGCATCACGGAAGCCATTTCATCTTTTATATATGTGGCTTCTAACTCCATAGGTTAATGGGCAAAGCCACGTGTCTTGGTTAAAGGACATTTAACAAGTATTAGGTCAACAGATAAGCAGGACCTCATTGATTGCATTTTGTCAGAGAGAATCGACACGAAGTGGTTTACGTTGACCTATATTGTAAATCATCTGCCTTTGGCAAATTATGACTTGACTGAGTTTGTGCCTTTGCGTTGCTCTTTCCCTCTTCCCTCCCATTCTTCTTCCCGGGACATGGGTGAAGCTACGGGGCTTCCAAAACCCTTAGCACGTTGCACTTCTCAAGCGCTCAGGGCCCCCGCTTTCAATATTCTGACCCTCTCTGGCTTTCATGTCCTTTTTTTAGAGATTTTCTTTTTTGTGCCTTCTGGAAAGAGTCTTAAAACCAAATTATTGCAAAATATGTGCTTCGGAAAAGTGTGAAGCGTATGTTTTTTTTAAAAAGTTTCTTTAGTTGAAAATGAAATATTATCTTGGGGGGAAGGAACAGAATGCCGGTGGGGTAAAGGGGTCCTTTCTGGAAGCTAAACAGTTAGGCCTACTCAGTACACTGTACCATTCATGGATGTCTGGAAATCTACTTTGTTGGTTTTTTAGAAAATGTAAAAATAGCAACAAAAGCAAATCATATGACTCCGTGCTACAAGGCCAACTTAAACAGACACAGGCCTTCTGTTTGCTAGGAGGTTTTACACTCAATTCCTCCTGGCTTTTTAGGATGGCCTCGTGGTGGGCTTTAAATTTCCCCATGGAATGTTTCCAAGTTCATGTATCAAAACTGGTTGTCTCTGTGGTCACATTCTTCATTTATCATGCATTCCTTCTCTTCAGCTTGCTGGAGTTTTGTGAAGGGCGATTGTCTCTGCTGAATATTCCTCTGCTCATTCTTGCATGTTTCTAGTGGAGCTGCAAAGTGTGGGTGCTAGAATTTGCTGTGCTGTATTAAACGTAGCAAATAGATCATTGCTACACTTTAGGAACATAATTGTTATTTGTTTGGCTGTGACATTTATTGAACATAACAAGTAATTTCTTTGTTTTCTAGAGATGGTGTAAGTGTGAAGTGAGTAACCTTTTAAATGTTGCGATAAGACGTTTAGGGGAAAAGTCGAGTATTTAAAAAAATTCTTTGGGGGCTGGGCACTGCACTTCATCAATACTTTTGAATAAAAGTACTGTATTATTTGAAGATTGCCAGAACCTTGTTAGGAAATGCACTGCAGCTACCAAGGAGGGTCCTGTCCCCAGTGTTTCGAGCTTTGTGGGACAGTAGGGGCTTTTCAGAAAACCACCTTTTGAGCTGCACTGGAACATTTAAAAATCAGAGACACGTTTTGAAGTTGACCTGGGTGGGCTCGCACAGGCACTGCCTGTTCTTTTCCCATTAGCGCGGTGGTTCTCAACACAGGGAGTGGGGGCTTTTCCCCCCAGGAGACTTCTGACAGTGTCTGGAGACATGTTTAGTTATCACAGCTCTGAGGCAGGTGCTCCTGGCGTCTAGTGGGCAGAGGCCACGGGGGCCGCTAGACATCCTCGGTGCACAGGACGGCCCCATAGCATGTCACTAGAGCTGAGGTTGAGAAACCTTCCTCTGGGGCTTCTTCCTGTCTTACTCCTGAATCCTCACTGTGCATGAACAACAGGGGCCTACGTGAGCAGGTCGCCTGCTAACTCACGGGCGTCAGCTCACTGCACCGAGTGCTACTTGCTCACCTGTTCCAGCCACGTTGGCCTCCTCCGTGTTCCTCAGATATACTGAGTGTGCCTCCACCAACCAGCTCCACTGGCATCCTGCTGGGCCTCAAACCTGCCGGGCAAATTCCTGACTCGGCGCCTGCAGTTGGCAGGATAATGGCCCCTCAAAGGTGTCCACGTCCTGATCTCCTGAACCTGTGAATGCATTGCCTCCCATGGCAGAGGGGACTTTGCAGATGGCATGGTGTTAGGGATCCAGAATGGGGAAAGGATCCTGGATGACCCAGCCAGGCCCAGTGTCATCACAAGGGTCCTTATAGGAGAGAGGCAGGAGGGCTGGCGGCAGAGAGAGATGGACATATGAGGATGGAAGCAGGGGGCAGCCCCTGGGACCTGGGAGAGGCAAAGAAACAGATTCTGTCCCGGAGTCTCCAGAAGGAAGCAGCCCTGCGGGCCCGTTGTTGACTTCTGACCTCCAGAAGTATAAGAGGATACTGGGTGTTGCTTTCAGCCGTTGAGTTTGTGGTAGTTTGTTGGCAGCAGCAAGAGCAAAGCCAAGCAGTGCCCTTGGCCAAACTGCCTCCTCTGCGTGGAATGGAGTGCTTGTCCCCACATTGTCACATGGCCTCTGCTCTCCTTTTGATCACCTTGTTAGAAAGATTTCCTTGATCATCCTGAGTAAAACCGTACCACCCTGTCCTCACCCCATCACCCTGATTGGCCGAGCAAATGTTACTACCTAGCTGGTGTTTGCTTTCTTATTGTCGGTCTTTCCCTGTGAAAATGTAAATAAACCCCATGAGTGCAGGAATTATAAGTCATTGCTATAATCCCAGTAGCTACGTAGTCAGTGAACATGTATTGAATGAATAAGTGAGGGTCCCATTTGGTCACATTTGCTATTTGGCCTTTGCCCCTGGGAGTGGGTGAATCAGAGGCATCCCAGGGCCCTGGTCAACTCCAGGCTACCTGCTCTGCTCCTAGCTCCCATCCCCAAGACCCCCATGCTGGTACAAGCCTTGGAGTAGCTCATACTTTCTGGGCCTTCGTGGATATTCAGAAAGGCTAGTGGTCTTTGAACTCTGTATAATAAATTCTCTTCTTGGGGGTTAGAGAAAATGGCATTGGAGCTGGGCCCTGAAGGAGTGCTGGGATTCCAGCTGCCCGTACATTGGGGAAGGACTTTCTCAAGTAAGAGGGGAGCGGGGGTCGGATGGGGGAGGGGCATCAGTCTGCAGCAGCAGGACGGGACCGGAATTGCAGAACAAAGGCAAGCCAGGGGGTGGAATGGAGGCTGCCAGGAGCAGGGAGGCAGGCCATGTTATGAGGGCCATGAGTGCCTTGGAAAGGAGTCGGAATTGCCGGGCACACTAGGTCTTTTGAGTCGGGAATGTTAAGTGGGAGCCATTCAAATGGTGGTATGTGCAGGAGGGCAATTGGAGGTACCAATATAGGAATCTTCAGCACATAAATTAAGTCACCGAATGGCTGAGCTCACCTCAGGAGAGAGAATGCACTGAGAAACGAAGGGACTCCAGGACTGAGCCGTGAGAAAGGCCAATAAAAGGCCTGGTAAGGTTGAGACCGGCCAGAGGGGTGCAGTAAGAAGTCTAAGAGAGGACGGCTGGGGTGGGAGGACAAAAAGAAGAAGAAGCGAACCTTAGAAAACTCTTACCTCCAAGGGCCGGGCAACAGAGGAGAGGAGCTGCAAAGGAACAGAAAGAGAATGGCCGAAGAAGTGCCATTTAAAGAACTCTGATGTATTTTTTCTGTTAAAACATCTTTCTCTTATGAAATGATGGTAGTTGATGTGAGTGGTTTTTTTCCAAAGTGTTTACTTGGCAAAATAAAAAATTGGCAATCCTAAATTAGTCCCCCCACCCCACCTCCTTTCTTAAATTATACTGGCCTGTGGGAAGTGTGACAGAGACGGTACTCTGCCTGGGATTAAAGAAGAATGGCCCCACAGAGAGTTTCCGGGGCTCACGCTAGGATTGACGGTCATTTAGAAGGAAAGGCTTGATTTTGACAATGAATTTGGTACTTTTAATGGACTTAAAGCTGCTCAAAAACACCCTTGAAGTGTTCTTATCGGTGGAGTCCTTAACGGTGATCACAGTTCACTAGGTCATTAATTGCAACCCCCTCTGGGTTCTGGTCCCCTGATGTGGTGGCAGTGCATGTTCCAGTCCCCTTGGAATAATGACATTCTGCCCCCAGTCATTCCAAGGTGGTTCTTAGAGTTAAGGCTTGACCAGTAAGGAAGAGCATGTCTGACTTGTAACTACTCAGCTATGGGTCATACGGTCCCCAGCAGCACTGGCCAGCACTAGACTTTATACACCTTGTGGCACCATCAGGGCAACCTTACCTTCCCACCCCCACCTTTGTCCCATCCCTGTAGACAGGTTGAAAGTTAGGGAGGGTTAATGTCATTGGGTCTCACCCAGCATCAGCTCAGGGATTTTATTACAATTGCTTTTTCTGAGTGTTCCGTTGGGTTACCTCTGAATGAGGCACACAATTAGAATAATATAGGCTTGGGAAGAGAGCAGCAGCAAGCAGTTCTCTGGCAAGAACTAAATCTAGAACAGATGTTAACATTCTAAGATCTGTGTGATGAGCACCACAGCCAGAGCACGACGGCTTTGAGGTCCTGTCTGTGGAGTCTTCACTCGGCCCCCTTGATCAGGCTGGAACGCTAGTCCCTGATACCCCCATGAGCACCACTGGGGAAGCAGTGTCCCATGTACAGGAAAGCATCATGTACCCCGTCCACCCCGCAGAGCATGAAAAAGAATGCATTGCTTTCTGTAGCAGCATTAACAAAGAATAATGTGTCTTTCCCTGCTCTTTCACTCCGAGGCTAAGGACATAATGTGTCCTTTTCTTTTGCCCA